AATCCGATCCTGAATATTCTGGAAAATTTGCTTCTTAGACCCACCAATGTAAGTTGGTAAGCCAAGATATTTGTCGTGTTCTTCCGTTCTCGGTTCTTGCTTAATGTTTCGGCTAAAAGACACCTCTGATTTATCCATATTTAGTTTCTGACCCGAAGCAATCTCATAGGTAGAAAAAATCCCAAACACATTATCAACTTCCTCCTCCGCCGCTCTCATAAAAAAGAGACTATCATCTGCAAAAAATAAGTGAGAGATAAGATTCACATATCTCCCAATTTTAACTCCATGAATAAGTTTCCTCCTTTCCGCATCCCTAAGCAAAGATGAGAGACCTTCTGCACATACTATAACAGAAAAGGGGAGATGGGATCCCCTTGTCTAAGCCCATGGCTCGGCTTAAAATTCCTCGACGGTTGTCCATTAACTAGAACATCAAAAGAAGTAGTACTCACACATTTCATAACCAAATTCACAAAATTTTCTAGCATCCCAGTTTAGTCATCACTTTTTCCAAAACCATATCATAAGCCTTACTCATGTCAAGTTTGAGGCCTAGATACCCTTTCTTGCCTTTTTCTTCTTCCGGAGGTAATGGAAACATTCATAGGCAACCAGCACATTTATTTGTGATTAATCTCCCGGGAACAAATCCACCCTACGACTCATGAATGATGGACGGGAGCACAATTTTCAATTTGTTTGCTAGAACTTTTGTGACAATTTTATACGTACAATACATTACATAAACTAATAGATCTAAAATTAACAGGAGACTCACAATCTTTCTTTTTCGGAATTAAAACAATATGAGTCTGATTTATAGAACCTATATCCCCATTATTATTCAAAATATCTAGCACTTTTTCAACTACATTATTCCCCACAACATCCCAAAATTTCTGGAAAAAAATTGCAAACATACCATCGGGCCCAGGGGCCTTAGTAGGGTGCATTTGAAAGAGTGCCACATGAACCTCATCAGCAATGTACGGGGCATTCAGGTCTGTGTATTGTCTGTCACTTATGGCCGGCTCCACCATTGCAATCATAGGCTCCGTATCAATATTACAACTCAATAAGTCTTCAAAAAAATTCACAAAAGTTTCGAAAATTTGCTCCTCCTTTATATATGAATTACCAGCCGCAACTTTGATGAAGGAGATATGATTTCTCGTTGCTCTTTGCTTCGCTTTTTGATGGAAAAAGGAAGTGTTTTTATCTCCGTTCTTCAGCCAATCTTGCCTACTCCGTTGTTTCCAATACATCTCCTCCCTTCTTTCGAGCTTATCCATTCGATTGTCTAAGGCTTTCATTTGAGGATTACCTCAACCGATTGAACTTCTCCCATCAATTGTTTCATGTGATTTTTACACGCAACAAGCTCCTCAATAAAGTCGCCAAATTTCTCTCTACTCCACGCACTTAACTTCATTGACGTGAATGCAATTTTGGAGCACAAATCACCCTCACATTTCCAAGCATCCAAAACTATGTCAGCACAATTTTCATCACGAAGCCACATTTCTTCAAAACGATAGAGCTTTCTTTTCTTTTTTTTTTCTTCTGCTTTAGGACAGCTTCTTTAATACATAATAAAATAGGGAGATGATCCGACATGCGTTTAGTAAGATGAGTGACAAAAGACCCCTGAAAAAGACCCTTCCATGCTCGGTTGGCAAGAAATCTGTCAAGTCTTTCTTGGATATTCTCCATACCCCCTCTATTATTGGTCCATGTGAAATCATGACCAATAAAACCCAAGTCTTCCAACTGACAGTGTGTCACGGCATTTCTCAGAATATCAGCATCATTAAAATTGAAATCTCTCCCTCCTATCTTCTCACAAGAATGTAGCATGAGATTAAGATCTCCTCCACACAACCACGACTTATTGTTTACCTCCATAAGACTGTCGAATTAGAGAAGACATGTCTTGAATTTGTTCTCCTCCTCGGGGTACCCATACAACCCAAGATAACGCCACTCCCCGTGCATCGCCGAACGCACCCAAGTATCAATATGGTGAAGGGAGTAAGACCGAACAGTCACATCTATATTGCTGTTCCACAAAAGAGCTAACCTTCCTTTCCTTCCTCTCCCCTCACCCTCACACTCCACGATAAAGCCACAAGAGAATTTCAATTTCTGTTTTATTTTTTCCATCTCGAAAGCCTTCAATCTCGTCTCCGAAAGAAACACTAATTGGGGATTTTCAAGAAAAACAATGCGTTTTAGCGCATTAATCGCAGCGGTACTCCCCAAACCCTCGCAATTCCAAGCTAGAATGTAGCTCATTGATCACCGAGAGCCCTATTGGTGGGGCTAGTCACACTCTCAGCAGAAAAAGAAAGTAGTCTTTTTTTATTACCAGTTGCAACCTCTCCTTTCTCCCGTTCAAATCTTCCTATTTCAGCCTCGCACTCTTTCCTTTTTTCTCCAAGAAGCAATGCACTAGTACTCATACTATGGTCAGCGCCCTAGTCACCCTTCTCCAACTCTTCACAGTCGCCTTATCACCATGCACACCCTTATTCTCTTTAGAGTCTAACTCATAATTTCCTATAGCAGCTGCTCCACTATTAAAAATAAAAACATCACTCCCTCCAATTTTCTCAGTAACATCATCCAAGTTACTCAAGCCTTTAGCAGACTCACCATGCAACCCTAACTCTCCAAGTTTATTCATCATATTAGTAACATGAATCTCAGTTTCAGGGGCAGGAATTTTTTCCTTTGGCTTTGTAACAAACAAAGGTCTTGCACATTTGTTTTGTCCTCTCCCTTTCCCTTCATCACGCACGCCCAAATAAGACTTCCAAGGAGAAGCCTTCATCCAAACCCCAAAAGAAAATACAGGATTGTCAGCCTCTTTATGCTTCCCACAATCTTTAACCCCATGCCCCATAAGCCCACAAAAGAAACAAAGGTGGAGGTTTTTCATGCTTCACTTCAAAGAATTCCTCAATTCCATCCCTTAGCTTTAATTTAACATGTCTAGCCAGAGGTTTTCGAACATTAACCAGAGTTCTGATTCTAATAGACTTATCAATGCCTATTCTAGCATCACTGTCCATCTTAACACACACTCCTAATTTGTTTTCCGATTTTTTCAACATTATTGAGATTTAATCCCCTTAAGAGGAAGACTGTGCACCCTAACCCACATTGGCAAGTAAAAGAGTTGGATGTCAGAAGGTTTTACCGAATCTATAGTTTCTCCAAGGATCAAAGCATGCCTATCAAAGTGCCACGGTTGTTCCTCGAGCACTCGATTTTTGTCACGTCAATGGTAAAATTGAAACACAAACAGATTTTTCCCAATGCTTGTAATGTCTACGCCATACTTAGGTTGCCAGACTCCCTTGATAGTTGCTATAAAAGCATTCACACTTATATTATGATCAGTCCAGATCTTCCCAACTAGGGCAAGTTCTACATGAGCATCCTCATCATTCTCTCCCGTATCATCCCACTCGATTGCTTCATTTAGGTCATTATTGATTATAGTCTCCGTACTACTATTCTCCATCCCTTCCTTCTCCAGAACCGCAAGGGTTTGATTATCTCCAATAAATGGAAGATGAGAAAATTAGAATAAATTTGCAACACAATTATGAAAACTCGATCTAAAATCTAGAAGAGACCTTGAGAAACCCTAGTCAAACGAGATGAGACCTTGAAAAAATAAATAAGATTTTAGGATCCCAAAAAGTTCCCTCTAGGTTTTCCTTGGGAGGGTTTCCATCTAGCAAGAAGTTCATTTCGCTCAACGCTTTCAGCAAGTGAATTGGGCTTGACATGCTGATTTTGTGTTGGTCATCAGTTAGGTTATTAGCTTTCCTCACATCTAAGTGGGCTTTTTTTTTCTTTTTTTTTTTTTTGGTCTTAAGACTACTCTACTTTGTTATCCTAAGTCCTAACCATAACTTATTTTGAATCTTTTGGGGAATTTTTAAAATTCATTCTACCCACTTCTATATCTAGTTTTGATACACCATTTTCATCATCAAATACTCTATATTATTTTCATATAAGGTCCCGTTCACTTCACCTTATTTTTGCTGAATTGAAATTATTTTTACTGAACTGAAATTACTTTTGCTGAACTTAAATTATTTTTAATGAACTGAAATTAATTTTACTGAACTGAAATTATTTTTGCTAAACTGAAACTATTTTTACTGATTCTCTATTATACTTCATATTTCTTCTTTACAATTACTGATTTTACGAAATGAAATTATTTTTACTGGACTAAAATTAATTTTACAGAACTGAACTTATTTTTACTGAACTGAAATTATTTTTACTGAATATTACTTCCTCTGTTCCATAAATATTGCAACTAGGATGAACTTATGTATCCCAAAGTGCATTTTATATGTTAAATATCTATAATTATATAATAGTAAAAATTATAAAAAGTTGATATTGTGAAAGTATTTTACGAGACAAATATAACAAGACCTCACAAGACTTTAATGTTAGATTCCAAATATTCTTCTTTTTTTATTTTATGTGATTGATTCCATACGGGATTAACATTGTGAAACGGGGGGTGTATCATTTTAAGAGCTATTTTAAATTGTTATTTAACGTTTAGGGAGCGCTCATTAGCAGGATTCATATATTAATACTTTGTATAAGATATATTCAATCGATAACTAGGATGTTTTGAATTTAATTATATTTTAACGGTACACATTTATTAGAGTATTAATTTAATGACTTTGACTATATTTTATTTTACTAATTTAATGTATTAAAAACAAATGTAATCGTGGTTAGAATGACTTTGAAAATGATAGTGTGCTAGAACAAAAGGAGTATTCAAATAATCCTTAAATACATTACTGAACCGAATTAAATTATACAATGAAGGTTTTTTTGTCATTGAATTTTAGTTGGGGAGACATTTTTAAGTGTCTATAGACTGAGACCTAACTACCTCGAATTTAGAGCTTAAAAGTTATATCGTGTGGGAAAACACAAAAATGTACGGAGTATAAAAAAATTGTTAAGATTAAAAAATTCTAAACGTGTCAAACGAAATAATGATATCAACAAGAAAAGGATAAAGGTCATAACACATAAATCACAAATTCTCCAAAAACTAGATAAAGTTAGCCATTTTAGCACAATTTCCACTATACACTGTCTTCAAATTGTAGATCCTGAAACAAAAAATGACAGCAACGCCGGTGAAAGTGTACGGACCACCGCTGTCAACGGCGGTGTCGAGGGTGTTGGCATGTCTTCTGGAAAAACAAGTTCAGTATGAACTCATCAATGTCAACATGGCTAAAGGAGAACACAAATCTCCTGATTACCTCAAAATTCAGCCTTTTGGTCAAGTTCCTGCTTTCCAAGATGATCACATTACTCTTTTTGGTAATCTTTAGTCTAATAATAGCATAATTTGTGTTGCATGTAAAAAAAAAAAAAAAAAAAAAAAAAAAAACTGTATAATGTGATTCACATGTCTGTTCTTCGATTATACAACTGAAAATAAGGGATAAATTTGAATATTGGTACTTTGGTATAAATTATGTTGAAAATGGCACTCCTTAATGCCCCGTCTATAAAAGTTTTTCCTGTTTTGACTACGGTGGTCGGTGAGTGTATAAAATGGATATAGGGAAAATCTTGATTTCAATTTCAAGGGATACAAATTACTAAGTATTTGAGTAATTGGAGTATTGGGTGTCATAATGATCTCTAAATCGTTGGAGTTGATTGCTTTACTTGTAAACTTCTTGTGATTTAAGGCCAATGAGTTATAAGTTGAAATTGGGTATTCCAAGTTTGATTCATAGCTTTGATAAGCGCGGATAGATTAAGAATTAATTTATGGAGGATTATTTGGCTATGGTACCATGATAGATGGTGTAGTTTAAACCAACAAAAATTGGGGAAGCAACAAGACTTTCTCTTCAACAAAGGGGGAAAATGTACTAATTTAGGATTATAGGGGGTTATTTTCTTTGCCTTTTGCTTTTAATATAATGTGTTTATAGTAACTCTAGTCTTAAAATGTAAATAAAAAAAGTTAAGACTTAACCTAGGAATTAGATTTCCATATAATATAACACAAATATTGCATATACTTGTTGTATAGACATTGCCTGATATGAAAAGTATGGGCATTGTTAAGTCTTAATTCTTGTATCAGAATATACTTGTGAAACAATGGTTAACGAACATCAAAACACAAAAGTTTTATGGTGAACTACAATCGTTTGATAGCCTGTACTATTTGGCTTACAATAGCAGTTACTAGGCTTTCAATATTACTAGTTAGATCAATGTATTTCATAACGATTTGAAGTAAAATTTTGATGCCTCTTATCAGGCTTTTGGCATACTAATAGCCTAATATAAGAATTTGCTTCTTATATATGTCCTTGTTGTATGCTTCTTAATGACTTAATCAGTTATCACCCTTTTCTCAGTAACAAAACAATAACCAAGAGTGTGCAATGGATGCAGCATTACTTTCTTCATTGTTATAGGAAAATGTCATTATTTCTGACTGTAATATGTCTGAATTAAGTGAAATATAACTTTTAATTTGTTTTTATTGAACAAGACTCAAGTTAGAGAGGTATCTCAAATTTTCTGTGTGACTTTCCCTTTCAAATGCTGCTATACTGGTTACAGGTTAAGCTGTTAAGTTGTTAATTTCTTGTTGTGGGAAGTTCCAGCTACCCATATTATCTCTTGCATTATACAGAACGCCAAGATTTCTCAAAACACAGCATTATCTTGTAGTTTAGTGACTTTCAGTTATATGAGTTTCTTGTTTGCATTTAGAACATGTTAATTGCTTGAAGATGGATACTCATTTTCAGAAGTTTTGAGATACTTGTGAACAATGTAAGTGTATGGAAAGAGAGAAGCATGAAATATTATTTGTACTCTTTTGATCAAGTAATAACGTGTTTGATCAGTGCATGTCAGAGTAGTGTTGTCACAATAACTGCAGCTATCTTCTGAAATGTTCTAGTTCACTCTTGCATCAGTTTATGGTTATCAAATCATTCAGAATGGCTATTACTGTAGAACAATCAATTGATGTGTATGTCTTTAATTATTTCACCTAAAATTGTCTAGCTGGTTGGTATTCTATGTCACAACTCACAAGCATCTGCAATATTCAGTTAGAGCACATCACTTTGAATGGTTTGTGCACATAGAACAATAGGGATTCCCAAAAACCTAGCCCTTATAATATTTGATTACTTAGCACTTTCTGTACCTTGAATAAAGCAGGGTTGCACCTTCTTTGAAATTATGTACTGTCATATCTTATATTTGTGTTCATATAACTCATTGTAGAGTCAAGAGCGATATGTCGTTACATATCAGAGAAATATGCAAGCCAAGGAAACATAAAACTGTATGGGATAAATCCATTGGAGAAAGCATCTATAGAACAGTGGATAGAGGCAGAGAGCCAGAGCTTCAATCCTCCATCAGGTACCCTGGTGTTTCAGCTAGCGTTTGCACCTCGCATGAACATCAAGCAAGATGAAGGGCTGATCAAACAGAGCAAAGAAAAGCTGGCCAAAGTGCTTGATGTCTATGATAGTAGGCTGGGGGAGAGCCGTTACTTGGCTGGTGATGATTTTACCTTGGCTGATCTCTCTCACTTGCCTAACACACATTATTTGGTGAATGGTACTGATGTGAAGGAGCTGTTCATGTCGAGAGATAATGTGGGTAGGTGGTGGGAGGAGATTTCAGGCAGGGAGTCATGGAAGAAGGTTGTTGAAATGCAAAGCTCTTCCTTTCCTAAAAGTTAAACAGAAATCCTTGACGTCTTTATGGTTCTCTGAACCTATGTTGGTTGTGCTTTGATTTAGTACCATTATTATCTTAGAAGGTGGATATTTCATTTGAATAAAAGGGATTGCTGATTATCTGAAGCAGTTCCTGGATTGCTTAAAGCTGCTCTGTTAATCCTTAATCAGTAGTTTCTCACTTATATGGTGCAAAGTAACCATTCTAAGATTACAGCCGTCATTCTAGACTTCCTTGATACATTCCTGATACATGCAATTGATGTATACTTTAAGTCATGAAATCTTTTTTCTTCTCTTCCATAAAAACAGATTGGAGATAATTGATTGTTGGCTTCCTTTGGTGGTCATCTAAGAACTGATCAATCACGCGTTCAAATGTGTAAGACATTCTCTTGTCATACAACTGGGCTTGAGTAGTTTCATTGCTACACACCCATAAGCTAACATTTTTGTTGTCATTATGCATTCTAACAAAGCTAGTGCCATTAGTTGGATAATGGCTGGCAAAACAAGTGCCTATTGTCCTAAAAACCAGGCAACGGTTTGTTGTTCTCCCTAAATTTCTCCTACTACAAGAGATGACTTTCACGGATGTCAGGACTGGGGATCAAAGTACTGCCTTCTGGCATTGGAGAAAAGTTGCAGGATCATATGCAGGAATGCAGTGGATCTACGCGACTTGGCATCAACCATGAGACAGGATGAGATGGCAAAAACCTACAATATGAGGATTTGGCTGTTTTAGCCACTCAAGTAGTAAAGTGTTTGATAAGGACGAGATGTTACTTTTCTGTAATGCTGCAGCTCCTAGTGACCAGAGTGTTGGTCTTGGACTCTTGGTACATTGGCTCCAGAGCAAATTGAAGCTGTAAGTTGGAGAGTTGGACTCTGCTCCTGTATAGGCAACAAGTTATATGGTTATTGGCTGAAAAGCATTAAGTCCCACATCAGTCAGAAACAATATTAATTTCATATATATATAATGAAGAGAGAACAAAACATGGTATGACCTTACTTGAACAGGATCTGTTCTATAGGATCGTACCTCTGTAACCTGTTTTACTCTGATAGAAGACTTCAACTTTTTAATATCCTTTTTGGCTAGCAAAGTATGTGTATTTGCTGAATAAACTTAGTTCTACAATGGTAATGGACGGTGGACTCGGTGCTTATATACAAAACGGTTTCAAGTTCTACTTGGATTTGGGGTTATTGTGTGGGTTAGTTCAGTAACGCTTAATGCTGCTCATGCTTTACTGTTCTGCATAGCTTAAAGCTGCTCTGTTATCCTTAATCAGTAGTTTCTCATTTATATTGTTAAATTGTGACTCAAAATCTAGTAGGGATGACTTTGAATGCAGATATCTCTCAAACTACAAGTGATTTTGAGGTGATTCAAGTTGGAGGTGATAGCTTGGTTCAAGATCTTTCCAATGGTAGGTCATATGTCCAATTTTGATAGGAAATGAGAAAGTTATGGCCGTTTTACGAAGACTTGACGAAACAGTAAAGTTGCGACGAGGTTGCGAGCTATAGCTCAAGCTATAGCTCGGCCCTATTAAGACTTGCGGCAGGCTTGAGCTAGCTGCCGAGCTATAGCTCGGTAGTGGTTCTTCTAGGATAATTTATGGGATATTTCCTAATATTTTATCTTTTCTACGACGGCTATTTGAGTATACTTGGGGAACAATTTAGGATTTTTATTAGGGTTTCCTTGCGTTATAAAAGGATCCTATAGTTAATCAATTAGATCATACTTTTTTGAGCCATTAGATTTAGGACTCCTTGTATTATTCTCTCGTTCTTTCTCCATTACAGTGAAGAAGCTCCACATAAATCCTTGTGTTCTTTGTTTATCTTCTTTATTGCATTTCTCGTTCTTATTTTTCATTGACTTGTTTCGCATTAATCAAACACAATTACACCTCTTATTTCATAACATATATGGTGTGTGATATGAGCATGTCTTGTACAATTAACATCTAATTTTGTAGCAATTTACTTTGGAAGGGAGCTGATAGACTACCATAGAAATTTCTGCATGTGAATACAGGTTAGAATTGCACCTGATACCATTTGTTTATCGACTTTAGGAAAAAGATGAAGTTTTTTGGTGATTTCCTCAAATATTCATTCACTGAGTTTCCTAAAAAAACACGTCTTTGTAGATGCTTCAAAGTAACAATTCTATGATTACAGTCGTCGTGAAAATTACCTTGATAAATTTTTTATGCATACCTTTTATGCCATGAATCTTCTTTCTTTTCTTTCATAAATAAATAAGAGGTTGGTGATTTTTGATTGTTGACTTCCTTTGGTAATCATCTGTGAACTGACCAATCGCTCCTTGAAATGTCTAAGACATTTTCTCATATAACCGTGCTTGAGTGAAGGTTGACACAGGCGTATGCTACCATCTTTGTTGTTACGCATATTTACAATGCTAGTCACTAAGCTGTGTAATGGCTGGCTAAACAAGTGCCTCCTGTTGCCATATGAAACTGGCAACAGTTTGTTGTGTCTTCAAGAGAACTTTCGTGCATGGAGTGTCATATGAAGGAATGCGGAGGATCAGTGTGACTTGGCACTTTGGCAGCAACTGTGAGACAAGATGAGATTGACGAGAACCTACATGCTCGCGGATTTAGCTGTTTTAGTAACTCAAGTGTTTGATAGGAATGTGAGCTTAAGTTTTTGTAATGCTGCAGCTCTTAGAGACTGCAGTGTTGGTATATTGTCTCCAGAGAAAATTGAAGCTGCAATTTGGAGAGTTGGACTTTGCTCCAACAGAATGTATAGTTATTGGCTGAAAAGACAGAAGTCCCACATTGGTAAAAACAATAATAATTGCATCTTTATAAACGGAAGAGATAGCATAATATGTTACGACCTTACTTGAACAGGATCTGTTCTATAGGATCGTACCTCTGTATCCTTGAGTTCTAAGGAGACAGAAAACCAAGTCTGGTGGATGAATTATGACTGTGTGGCTAGAGCGTGATTAACGGCTTTCCATTAAATCTTCGGGTTCACTGGTGCAGTAGAGGATCGTTCCTGGGTTCCGTCGTGAACTTGGGATGGTCACACGGTTGTCTGACAGACTCAAACTTATTTGTATGGGCAAATGGTTCACAGGAAATGCATTGCTATTGTGTATTCTTGTGTGGGCTTTATGGTTCACAAGAAATGATAGGGTTTACAACAATGGCAATGGACGGTGGACTCGGTGCTTATATGGAACTATTGAAACGGTTCTACTTGGATTTGGGGCTATTGTGTGGGTTAGATCAGCAACGCTTAATGCTGCTCGTGCTTTGCTGTTATTGTTATCTTAGAAGGCAGACTTTCATCTAAATAAAAGGGATAAGCTGATGTTCTAAAGCAGTTCTGCATTGCTTAAAGCTGCTGCATGTAATAACTGAATACAGGTTAGAATTGCTCCTGTTACCATTTGTTTATAGACTTTATGAAAAAGGTGAAATGTTGTCACCATTTCCTCAAATACACATTTGCAGAGTGTCTAAAAAAATAGCATGTCCTTGTAGATTCCTCGGAAGCAACTATTTTAATTTAACAGTCGTCGTGAAAGATTTCCTTGATACATTCCTGATGCATACAATTGATGTATACCTTTTTAAGTCATAAATAAAAGGTTGGAGGTATTTGATTGTTGGCTTCCTTTGGTAGTCATCTGAGAACTAACCAATCGCTCCTTGAAATGTGTGACATTCTCTTATCATACAACAGTGCTTGAGAAAAGGTTGATTTCTACACAACCGTATGGTACCATCTTTGTTGTCATAATGCATTTTGACGAAGTTAGTGCACTAAGTTGCGTAATGGCTGGCAAAACAAGTGCCTTTTGTTGTCATATGAAACTAGCAACAGTTTGTTGTCGCTCCAATATACTCCGAGTACAAGAGATAACTTTGGTTTGTGGTGGATGGTATGAAGAAATGTGCAGGATCTGCGAGACTGGCAGCAACTACATGCTCGTGGATTGGCTGTTTTAGTCACTCAAGTATTCGATAAGAACGTGAGCTTAAGTTTTTGTAATGCTGCAGCTCTTAGAGACTGGAGTGTTTGGTACATTGTCTCCAGAAAATTGAAGCTGCAATTTGGAGGATTGGGCTTTGCTCCTGTATAGCCAACATAATGTATGGTTATTGGCTGAAAAGCAAGAAGTCCCACATTGGTCAAAAACAATAATAATTGCATCTTTATAAACAGAAGATATAGCATAATATGTTACGACCTTACTTGAACAGGATCTGTTCTATAGGATCGTACCTCTGTATCCTTGAGTTCTAAGGAGACAGATAACCAAGTCTGGTGGATGAACTATGGCCGTGTGGCTAGAGCGTGATTAACAACTACTATATGATCTTCGGACCACTGGTGCAGTAGAGGATCGTTCCCAGATTCCATTGTGAGCTTGGGATGGTCACACGGTTGTCTGACAGACTAATTTTTTAATTCCCTTCCTGCTTTTTTTTATAGAGAGACAGTCTAATTAGTATCTGAATCCATATCTTTCATCAGCTGCGCAATGCTGGTCATGCTTTACGCTGGGGAAAAGAACCAAAAAGGTGGTGGAAGCAAAATAAACAAACGGTGTAGAGGATAGCTGGTCTTTCGTATTTACAGCTAAGAAACTGTGAAGTGTTGTTATCAGTGGCGGACCTAAGAATTTTCGTCCGGTGAGTCAAAATTGATAATAAAACATGTAATAAATTTTTTTTACCAAACAATCAAATAATAATACTAAAAATACAACCAAATATTCAAAAAGTATAAAATACAACCAAATGTTCAAATAAATTTATTTTTGGGTAGACTAGTGAGTGATATGACTCACCAGGACAACATCCAAATCCGCCCGTGGGTGTGTATTAGCCCGTAAGCTATGAACCAAAATTTATTAAATAAGCCGTGAAATTTAAATGAAAACTATGAACTTACATTTATTAATATATAATCCATGAAAATTAAAAAGAAAAAAAAAACACATGGTGAAGACACTTCACGTTGAAAAGCCTGAACTTCCAATGACTAGTCCTTTCCAAATGTGAAAGCTTTCTAAATCTAAATTTTAAGCTTTTCCTCCCATACTTGAAGCATTATCCTGCTTCCCTCCCTTATAACCAACCAAACCCTTATTATCTTTTCCAAAGCTGGCCGTGTATCCCCATCAAGGCCATCAACCTTCCTATTCCAACGCTTCTATAATTCCCCATCAAGGTTATGACACTAGACCTCACCTACATCCGGGGCTCAGTGGCAGCCATCCTTTTGAGTCCTCCAAGACTCAACTTGCCCCCAAAACATCTACTTCCATTTCCGTCAGTTCCGTAACCCGGTCTAACGCCGATAGGGTTCTTCTCTTTACAGAAGCACGAGAGGAAAGCTTTCATGGCTGTCTTCCTCTTTTTCTTTCATTGTGACTACTGGCATCTTGGACCGTCCGAAAGGGTGATGGTTTTTTTTTAAAAATAAATTGAATTTTTTTTTTTTTTTTTGCCTCACTGGTGAGTCATATGACTCACCATGACATTAACTAGGTCCGCCAATGGTTGTTATATATTCTGGAGCATAAAATGAAGCTTCAACTTGGCAAGTTGAACTGTCTACGTTTCTGTATTGGCAGCATATGTTGGAAGTTCACAATAAAAGCTAGAGGTTAGAAATAAGAGTACACCAATTGTCCCACATGTGAAGACTGAGTTTTTTTTTTTCCGAGAAGATTTTTTTTTATTATTATTTTTTAATAATAATCAATTAATCATATTATATCAATTATCAATCAATAATATATAAAGCCAAATCGTGCAGCCAAGCACAAGATAGTGACACTTGTTTTTTTCGCCAAATATCACGCCACATTAATGAAAACTATGCATTAGTATAACACGTATAATAATGTCAAGTAAGCGAAATTCAAATAAATTTAGTTGTCGATAAACTTTCAATATATCTTCTTTGTTAATCTTTAAAGAAAACACCTTCTTTTGGTTGGGATAATTCTCTTGACAAAAATACCCTTAAACAAAATTTATTTTTCTTTTCCTAAATACCAAATATTAAAAAAATAAAAAAACACTAATAAAAGTTTTATTAAAAAAGAAAAATTGATTTTCTTAATTTCAACTTTGAACCATTTACTTTAATTAATCCCAACTATCGATTACTCCTAAGTAGGGGTGAAACTAATGCGATTTAAAATCGAACCAAACCGCAAACCAAACCGAATTAGAAATATGGTGCGGTTTTTTATTTTTTTATTATTTTTTTTTCTAGGTTCGGTGTGGTTTGAAGAATCCCAAAACCGAATTAATATTGTTTGATTTCGGTTTTAAGATTTGAAAAACCAAAAACCGAAATCCAAACCGAATTATGGCCCATATCCAATTTATAGCCTAGCCCAATACTAATTTCTACCCTACATATATATAGTAAAAAAATAATAAAACTTGTGTCTTTTTTTATGTCCTAGAATGTCAATTAATGTGGCGGATGTTGGAGTGAATGACCAGTTAGATGGAGCAAAAAGAAAGAGGATGAAAAATTTCGGTGTAGTTTGGTTCGGTTTCAATAGTAATATGATGCGGTGTGGTTTGAAAAATCCCAAAACCAAATTAATGTGGTTTGGTTTCGGTTAAACCACACAGTCTCAATCCGGGGCTGGGAAGACAACCACCTCCTGATCTTCCAAGCCTTCAAAGGAGGATAAAAGAAAGTATGTTAAGCGATACTAGTATCATGTATAGATGCAAGATTTGACTAGTATTTTATCTTCTAATTAGTATTCCGTATTATTGAAAAATGGTGATTTGTCCTCTAGTTTTTTTTGATGCAAGTATTATTCTTTGTTTACATTCAACAATTCAGGTTTTATATTTTGTATCAAGCTGTTTATGCCTAATATCTTTTTCAATGGTGTTAGTTGTGAGGGTGCTTTCAAACTTTAAGGATTTGAGACCAAAACAAGGGGCAAGGAGGAATAATTACATTGAGCGGCTGAAGACAGACTTGTCCTTACACTATGGCTATAACGAGTTCCTTATAGGGATGTTGGTGGAGGTGCATTTATATGACTTTATTTTATGCAATGGAGTTATTGCTTTGTAAATTTAGAATTTATGTTGTATTTTGCTAAGCTTTATCATTGTTCTTGAACAGATGTTTCCAGTTGATGATCTACTGAGTCTTATAGAAGCCTTTGAAAAGCCTCGCCCTATGTGCATAAGAACTAAAACCTTGAAGGTGTGCTCATGATTTGGATGTTCATGTGTTCTTATCCCTCTCTGTCAATTTTCTAGTATAGTGCTCATATGATGTAAGCTTTATATGCATTTGTCCCTTTGGATGTAGACACGTAGACCAGACTTGGCTGATGTTCTTTTAAACAGAGGAATGAACATAGAACCTGTTAACAAGTGGTCTAAGGTAAATTTGGCATTCATGGTTCGTGGGAAATGAGTTGATGGTTTCGTAGCTCACTTTTTTAGCATTATATTGATGTTTGTCTCTCATTTACAGGTTGTGGATATGGCGTAAGTAATCATTGGTGCTACATCTTTTACATGGAAAGTCATGACTAAGTCTTCCCCTTTCTTAGCCCCCACTCCTTTTTGTGTATGAGAGAGAGAGAGAGAGGGAGGGAAGGAGAAATTGGTAGATGTTCATGTAGCATCATTCTGTCATCTGTGTATGAATGCCCTTCATGCGTTGGCTGGGCTGGGTCAGTTGGTAGTTCTCCTTAGTAGTGGACCAAATTGGTATAAATTTGATGATGCCAAATTTAGTACTGAAACTATTTCATCCCTAATGTGATGCCTTGTTGTTCCTGTTATTGTAGAGCTGCACCTGGCGGGAAGTCCATTTATATTGCAGCTCTCATGAAAAATACTGGTATGGTTGTGTATCTTTTCTCACTGATATGGTTTCAGCTTATCTTTATTTATGTAAGATTGCTTAATCCATTTACTACCAAGTCTATTGAGGAGTTTTAACCTTTTAGGTGGGTATCCTAGCTATTTTTTGTTTTTATCTATTTTAATCACTATTATGCTTTCTGTTTTCTGAACCAGGATTTTTGTATGTCTGAGATTAGCAATTTGTTTCTTATCTTGTCTTTTATCTGTATTATTTGTTTGGTAGGTTATACTTGTGATGAGGGTTTTTTTTTTTTTTTTTTCCCCCCTAAATTTCCCAACATATAGGACTAGTGTTTGCTAATGAAATGAAGAAGCAGAGGCTCCATTCTTTGTCAGCAAATATTTGTCGCATGGGGGTTACAAACACAATAGTTATCAACTATGATGGAAGAGAGGTCTGATTCTTGTACTTGCAAATTTGCTTTTGTTCAGATTATAATATGAAGGTATTCTGTTTTATATTCATTACAAAATATTGTAATTTTGCATAGAAACTGTTTGGGTCCAATTTACTTTAATTGGGCCGGTCCATAAATGATTAATTACAAAGCCCAAGGCTAAGGTTCAACTCTCCAAATGGTGTCAAGTCAGTTAAGGCCCGGCCAACGTGGCAAGCCCACTTGATTTACGACCCACTTATCTATTGAGAAAAGGTATAAAAACCTTCAATCCTCTCTCTACACATATACACATTAAGCCTCAAGCAATTAATATTCTTGCATTGCTTTCCCTCTCTATTGATGTCGGGATTGTTTTTGTCCTGCAGCTTGTCTTTATTCCGGGGGAAGTCCAGTTCTTGCCGAGAATCTTTCTCGGCTTTTTTCTCTTCACGGCGATCCACGAGATATTTTTTCAGGTAATCTTTTCGGACCATATCCTCAATCTGATCCCTCAATTGGATCCAGTCCTTGGTGTGATGTCCCTGTGATTCATGGAACTCACACCATCGGTCCTTGTTTTTTTTGCTGATGCCACGATGGGAGCGGCCTCGGCTTTTTGTACTTCTGCTCGTCCTTCATTATGCTATAGATATTTGCATGTGGAAGGGCGAGAGGAGTGTATGATTCGTATTTCCCCACTAATGGGGTTTTTTCTTTCTTCAACTCAGGAGCCGAGGATGGTTCTGAGCTCCTTGAAGGATGAAGCTCGTCCACTTTCCTCTTGGTCGGTCCTCCTCAAGTTTTTCGGCAGAAGAGGCGAGTGATCAAGGGGTGGTGGAAAGTTACCTCCTTGGGCCTTCATGAGGTCCATGAAGACCGCGACGGCTCGTGCCACTTCCTCCGTAGAGGGCCCCATTTGAGGAGTTATTCTCGGCTGAGACCGAGAATGGAAACTTCGAGGGGAACTCTTAGGATTGGACTGACTCGGCCGATATGAGCTGGTCGGCTGGTGAGTATGATGGGATGGTGACCTTTCCGACTTTGCCCTTTCTAGGGAAGAAGGAGCTTTCGTAGAAGAAGAACAAGGTTCCGGTGATGGCGGTGGAGCAAGTGGATTCCTGCTCACCGGAATTGGACCTTTCCTCGAAGAGGGTCGTTCTTTTAGTACTCTTGGCACTCTTACCACTCTTAGTCATTTTTGCTAAGATTGGTTGATTTTTGGCTTACTTTTGAATGTCCTCCCCACAGACGACGCCAAATTGTTTCGGGTAAAAACAATGGGACCTTCGGCAAGGTCCTTTTCTGCGGGATGAAGACTGATCTCGGCCCAAGTGATGACTGCGCCGAGGGTTTCCTGCACAACAGACACACGTGAACTGGCCTCAGGGTGTTGCCGAGAAAAGCCCCTCCGATGCCGAAGTCAGTACAGTGTTTAGAGAGAGAAAGCAATGCAAGAATATTAATTGCTTGAGGCTTAATGTGTATATGTGTAGAGAGAGGATTGAAGGTTTTTATACCTTTTCTCAATAGATAAGTGGGTCGTAAATCAAGTGGGCTTGCCACGTTGGCCGGGCCTTAACTGACTTGACACCATTTGGAGAGTTGAACCTTAGCCTTGGGCTTTGTAATTAATCATTTATGGACCGGCCCAATTAAAGTAAATTGGACCCAAACAGTTTCTATGCAAAATTACAATATTTTGTAATGAATATAAAACAGAATACCTTCATATTATAATCTGAACAAAAGCAAATTTGCAAGTACAAGAATCAGACCTCTCTTCCATCATAGTTGATAACTATTGTGTTTGTAACCCCCATGCGACAAATATTTGCTGACAAAGAATGGAGCCTCTGCTTCTTCATTTCATTAGCAAACACTAGTCCTATATGTTGGGAAATTTAGGGGGGAAAAAAAAAAAAAAAAAAAACCCTCATCACAAGTATAACCTACCAAACAAATAATACAGATAAAAGACAAGATAAGAAACAAATTGCTAATCTCAGACATACAAAAATCCTGGTTCAGAAAACAGAAAGCATAATAGTGATTAAAATAGATAAAAACAAAAAATAGCTAGGATACCCACCTAAAAGGTTAAAACTCCTTAATAGACTTGGTAGTAAATGGATTAAGCAATCTTACATAAATAAAGATAAGCTGAAACCATATCAGTGAGAAAAGATACACAACCATACCAGTATTTTTCATGAGAGCTGCAATATAAGTGGACTTCCCGCCAGGTGCAGCTCTACAATAACAGGAACAACAATAGCACTATTGAATGAAATATCAGTATTATTACCTTCACATAAGTTTGCTGTCTTTTTTTTAAAAAAAAAAAAAAGTTGTTGTTTTATCAATATGCTGGAATTATGAAAGTCAAAGCAATCACAAATTTGGACAAAATAGATGTACCAAAATAACTTGTTTATTTCATTGACAACTAACTACTTAGTTTAGCATTACAATCAGCCCTGCCTTCACTCCACTTCCCCCTTAAACCAGTTTATTGAGTACAAGACAACCTAAAACCAAAAGATCTAAACACAAAACAACTGAAAAAACCATGAGCTTGCTATGAGAATTGCCACTGCTGCTGATCATCTTCTTCCTGCCACCACTTAGAGCTTTGCATTTCAGTTTCAAAGTGTCAACCTCATTCAGCTTTCATCAATTTCTTGTCAAGCAAAAGTTGGTTGATCACATCTCTCTACCAATCACTTCCATCATCTATGTCAACCCATTCAAAACACTTGCACCCCCTAGTTTCAGTGTTAGGGTCATAGAATTTGCAAGCCCTAAATTTCCTCTCTGTGCCTGGTCCAAGATGTCAACCTTGCAAGAAGCAATCCACGATTACATTTCTTTTGGTTGGTGGGAGATAAATTATTCTAGGACATCTTCCAACTTGCAATTAGCATAAAACATATCAATTCAACCAACCACTTCCATTGAACAAGTTGTTATACACATCTTACTCGAGCACACCTAGTCACTATGGTGGTTGACCTTCAAAATGAGGATAACCATGTGGTGGCCATGTCTCATTTTGTTTCATCTTATACTCCAAGATTAAGTCATTCAAGAAACCAGGATCATCAGTGGTGCCAACATATATGGTAAACATGTCCAGAATCGGGAACCTCCTAAACATCTTGAGCATGTCACCATCATCTTCTAAAGCCTAATATTTCCCTTTATAAACATACTGAAATGTGGGGTACAAGAGGTCTACTGACCTTCTACTGGATCTTCCATTTCATGAAGCCGATCTTCAAATTCTATTGCAGTATCCATCAAGTTACTTTTTCCTACTTCTACTTCAATGTCTACAACAAAACTCAAGTACTTAAATCTCAAAATCACCTTATCCTCATCCATTTCTACGAGAAGAATTCCAACAACAAAAAACAGAACTAGCTTACAACATGATCCAATCAATCATAACAATACATAAATAAACAATTTTTAAACACAATTTCACAAATGTTAACTCAAAATTATCCAAATTTCATAAAAACCCCAATTCATTAGTAGCAGGTACCCTTATTGTGGGAATACCCCAAATAATTTGTGCGAAGAACAAGAACCCTAATTCAAAAATCCCCCAATTTCCCCCAATTATAATGTGCGAAGAACCCTAATTTTAAAAGAGAATTTAGCATACCTGATTGCGAATTCAGCTTCTGCAGTTCTTGGGGATTCGTCTTCAAATACCCTAAGCATCATGGAGTTTATGTACATCTTTTCTAAAATCATCATTGAATGAACTCAGAGCTACCGCGATAATATCACCTGAAAAAAACAAAAGCAGGCTTTCCAATTGGCACTTGTAAATGGATATCACTTCAAAGGATCCTACATAATGCTGTAAATTCCAAAACGCATAAAAACGATGCTTATCGAAGATTCGAAGGTAAACGTGGAATAAGTATGACCATTGAATCTTCAGCTTAAACTCTCACAACAGGCAAATTATTATTCACACCTGACACCAAGGAACACCCTTGCTATTTATATTGTGGAAACAATTTAAGAGGAAATAATAGTGTTGTTACCAAGTGCACCTAAACAATGCTGCTAACCCAAGGTTTTTTAATGTTCATTTATTAATATGAAGTATAAGCATATATAGTGTAACCAGTTCTTATAGACCAATTATAAGTCCCCCACCCCTTCTACTTCCTAAAAATTATGCTCAAAATATTGGTTGAAGATACAAAACCGACCACTGAACAGACTAAGAAAAGAATCCAAGCAATGAAGGATAAAAATCAGAATTAACTCAAGCTTGAACAACTGTTTTGAGTCAGCTAACTTAAAAAAGCTTAAATATAGATGTCATGGTACTTGGCCTGACTCAACTGAAGACCATCCTACTAAAATATGTCCCAAATATGACTTGACACAATAAAATGCAACCTCCCTTTCCTCATCACTTGCCTAAAAATAGATATAATATTCATTACTCACAAAATATACAAATTCTGTGGGAAGTATGGAGTAGAAAACTATGGTCAATTGATCAATAAAAAATAACATTAAGTACTACTTACAAAATAGAGAAAGTTACTTATCTAGATCACCCTAGGTATATAGACTTTACAAATTAGTCCAATAACAACTTCATCCCAAATTATTCTCTGCAAGTTCACGCTACTTTTTTTATAGTCTCGAATTATTTCTTAGTTTTTTCTCTCCAACCACCTTTTTTCTTCTCCAACCCATACTTTCTCTTCATTTTGCTCACTGTATCCGTAATTCTTAATTTTTGTACCAAAATCAAGTGTGCAAGATTTGGAAATAAAACTTCCCAACATCTTTTGAAAAGGCTTACGATCGAGCACTAAGGCAAAAGGCGACTTAGAAGTCAGGTAGACCGGACAAACATTCACATTCACTGAATAGACTTCATGATTTCATGACAGAATGCATGACTACTTTCGAAGTAACAGACTTCACTTTTGGAACAAAAATACTTGCAATCAGAACAATTGAAAATACATATAAATGACAAGAAGCAAGCATCAGCATACCCACGCAAAGCAGATTAAAAGAAAGACATCTTAAAAGCATATATGTAATATAATACGGAGTACCACATTCTTTGGCATATAGACATGTTTAGAAAAGAAAATGATAAGAATGAAGTTACCTCACAAAATTCTCAAACTCTTGGTTTCAGTTAAAATCAGGGCCTATAACAAGTTAAAGACATTACTTCTTTTTGTTCATCCCTTTAACTCAGTTCACATGCTCAAAATATCACTTGTTACACATAGGACATAGCTTACATATAGCATTCTGCTTTCCAAACTTCCCAATAGAAACCAAGAAATGCAACCATTAACAGCATGACAAAATCTACAGGAGTGTTCTCAATCAAATCATAGCACCTTGAAATCAGAATCCCACAACAAGAATGGATCATTAACTTCACATTTTCCTGATAAAATCCACAAATGTTCCTGAAATAACAGACTTCAGCTTTCTCAGAAATGCATTTTCAGAAACACTGTTACTACAAGTGACAGATGTCTTTGAGGCTATAAGAACAAAATTCTCTCCATTCCCACAATCTATTTCATGCAAATCCACATATACTCCTTGCAATTCATGTATCAGCATATCATAGAATGACCCATTTGGAGGAATTACATTCAAAACTAGAATTCCATGCTCAGAAAGAGACGTCTTGGCCGCTAGAAGTACATCTTTTTGCAAAAACTCCAATGCAGGGGCGCTGATACCCATTTTAGAATCACTAGAATCCAGATCAACCATGATAACAAGAAATTTAGGGCCAAATAACTCAAAATAATCCTTACAATGTTCCTCTCCTGCGTTATTGGCAACCGAAGGACTTAATGCATTATCACAGTCAAACAATGCTACCTTCTTTAATATTTCGATCCCGTCTCCTAGACAAAGCTGAATACTATTACCAGATTGTAGCCCAAAATATTGCTTTGCGATCCTCAAAACCGCTTCATCCATCTCAATACCAACAACCTCAAAACCTAATTGCAATGATAGGAAACTAAGCAATGCCCCACCTCCAACGCCAATGCAAAGCCCTCTTGGCCTAACCTTAGATTCAAAACACTCCTGTAAATACCCACTGATCAAGGACAGACCGGCCACCATCGGTGCCAAGTAAGGATGCACCAACACCCCTAAATCCAGACAAAACTCCGCCTCTTCAATACATAAAGAATTCAATCCAGTATCATCAACTCCATTATTTGGCACTACACTGATTTCAGTCTGTATCAAATTGGGCATTCTCTTAAACCTCAACCTTCTCCTAAATTCCCTCCTAGAACCCTCGATTTCGACATCTTCAACCAGCATTTCCCCAACACAAGACCCAGTGCTCCTCTCTAATACAACACTACTAATTACACTATCCTCATAACTCAAAAAGGGTACTTCAACATTTCCCAGTTGAGCAATTTCCTTGGGTAATAAAGCCATCAATAAAGGGTATAAACTTCTCTCCAATTTCTCCCTATAAATTGGGCAATTTTCAATTGAACTTTTATACAAATTACCAACACTAATCTCACCATTAGAAGCACTACCAATTAAAATTAACCTGGAGATTCCAGGAGAACCCAATAAAAGCTGGAGATGCCCAGATTCTGTGGCGAAAATCCAATCATTTTCGCGGTGTTTTGGGACTAACATAGCTGCAATTTGGGGGGAATTAATGGGTTGTAAAGGTGAATCAAGAACAGAAATTTGAAGGTTTTTGGTATGAAAATAGTCAATTGGGCAAGAAACAGAGTAAATTGGAAGAGTAAATGAAACATAGCGAGATGGGGTTAGAGAATCGAATGTACCTGGTTCCATGACTGATGACAAAATTAGGCGGTAATCCCAGAAGTTAATTCGGAGTAACGAAAATTTTGATGAAGAACGAACGAATAATTGCAATGACTCAATGAGAGATGCTACCGTGGTGATAAGACTGATAACATCAACCCGGGCCAATCTGGCCCGAAAATAGGGTGGGTTTAGACAAGCCTAAAAATGCATTGCTTGGCCCAAATTCTATATCTATAAAATAGCATTCTCACGGCACTCTCGAGTCTCAAACTTTACATGGGAAATTCTCTTATGATTCAAGATTTATAAGAGAATTTCTCTTTTTCTCTTTGGTAGAATGAAAAAAAAAAAAAAAAATTATCATTGATAATCTTGTATTAATGTTGCTAAATTAATTATAACATCAATGGTAATTTTATTAAAGTTTTAACCATGGTTAGATTATTGACAAAATGAAAAGTAAAATGACATAATTGCCCCCTTTATTTTTCATACACCCACCCTTCTAACTTGTTTAATCATTATTCTTTCCAATCTCTTTCACCAAAGTCACCATTCACTACCAACCTCCATCACTAACAAACATCTCCCTCCTTCCTTCTTCCTCCTTTACCAAACACCAGATACCAACATATCTCATCTCACATTGCTTTTCAAACTATCAAAATCCAGCCTTTGCTCTTCAAACTATCAAAATCCAGCCTTTGCTCTTCAAACTAGCAAAGGATCGATTTTTCTCAGGCGAACCATAACCCTAATTAACATTACCATCAATCCTTCGATAGATCAAACCCACCCTCCCAACCTCTGAACCCGAACCCAATTCAAGCTCCTTCACCACATATTCTGTTATAAACGGAATTGCACAAATAAAATAGTAAGAACAATGTTACCGAGAATAAGACTGAGTCGCGGACTATGTCGCTCTCTTTAGAACATTCGCGGCACTGCCTCAAACTTGTGCAAGCAGCTCGTACCAAACCGGATGCCCCCAGGATAAAACAGTCTTTCACAAGTATAAAATACCGGCGGTTTTGCACCGAACCACCGGACAATGGAACACCAGAAAATCAGAAAGAAACTGCTCGACTGTTTTGAGAGGAAGAGAAAATATATTTTGCAAAGTGGTTTTCTGTTTTTTTTTTCGTGTTTTTAAAAACAAAGCTGGAACCGTCCTTTTATAGGTAAAGATACGTAACAACTTAAGCATGAAAACGGGAGAAAGATTAGCAACGTTTACTGCAATTAGTGTATTCGTTAAGCAAGAATCAAGGCATTAAATCAGTGTAACGGTGCAACGTTTAGCAGTAAAACAGCAACGAGAATCAAGCAATGTAACGGAAAAATTTAAACCAAAACAGTAAAACGTTTTGTAACTGAATATTAATCAAACCGGTAACAAAAATTAAGTTTGTTTAATAACCCAAACCCAAACCCGACCCAGCCCAGCTCGGCTCGGTTCGGTTCGGCGCGCGTGTGTGATATATGGTTTACCATATAGGTCCTTCCTCTCCACAAAATGTGGGTAGCCCAAGGGCCACACCCCTTTAGCCCACTCTCTATATTATAAAGAGAGTAAAACTCTCATTTCCCACCAATGTGGGACTTTGAGTTTTTTCACAAAATTCACACACTACACACTTGTTGTTCCAACAATCCCCCACTTGAATTTTTTGAAAACATTTTCGAGCAGAATCCATACATATATAGGTTGCGCATAAACAGAAGTGTTTTTCAACTTGAACTTCTACGTAGTGAGTACGATTCAGATTCAACAAGGGTGACTCGAAGTTTTGAACCCTATCTCTGACAAAGTACCACACACAACTACTCTTGGTGTTGTTCTAGACCCGTGCTATTTCGGCCATGCACGTCTATCCCAGTGTAGTGAATGATCTAGAAATGCTGCCACACATTTCATAGGAAGCGGCCTAACTTCCACATTCACATAGGTGAATCTATCAAGAGTACTCCTGTAGCTTGGTACTCCACTCCAAATTGGAGTATAGATTTCATTAAGAGTTCCTATTAACTCATCCTTGATCGCTTCAGGAAATTATGTCTTTTGAACATATTCAACTCATATCACACCATAACTTGTTATTACCCTTTGAACCTATTTCTTGGGATCTCCAGTTCATAGGTTGGGTTACCATTATGTGTGGTTCATTTCAATGGCAATAGTCCTATTTTCTTAGAGGAAAAATGGACTTTCTCCCTAGCTAATCCTTTCGTCAAAGGATCAGCCAAGTTATTCTCAGTGCGTACGTGATCCACTCTAACAGCTCCGATAGAGAGATATTCTCTCATAGTGCTGTGCTTACGACGTATTTGTCGTCTCTTACCGTTGTAATATCGGTTCTGAACTTTTGCAATAGCCGCGGTACTATCGCAATGGATCAAGACAGCCGGTAATGGCTTTTCCCATAGGGGAATTTCACCTAGCAGGCCTCTTAACCAACCTACTTCTTCACTAGCCGTAGCTAGTGCTATCATTTCTGACTCCATGGTGGACTGAGCCAAAATAGTCTGTTTCTTAGACTTCCAAGATACAGCTCCACCGGCTATAGAAAAAATATATCCACTAGTAGCCTTAGAGTCATCTGATAAGGTGTTCCAGTCAGCATCACTATAGCCTTCTAGTACAGCTGGAAACCTTTCATAATGCAACCCTAGGTTCATGGTCCTCTTAAGGTATCTCATGACCCTTTCAATAGCATGCCAATGCTCATTACCAGGACAACTAGTAAACCTGCCTAACAATCCCACGACATAGGCAATGTCGGGTCTAGTACAATCAGTGGCATACCGAAGGCTGCCAATGATGCTCGCATAATCAGATTGCCTTACGGCATCACCAGTGTTCTTAAATAATTTAACACTGGAGTCATAAGGTGTATTAGCAGGTTTACAGTCAAAGTAACCATATTTCTTTAGGATTTTCTCAATGTAATGAGATTGATCCAAAGAAACTCCATTTTCTGTCCTAGTAATCTTAATTCCAAGGATTACATTAGCCTCTCCTAGGTCTTTCATGTCAAACTCAGCATTCAACAATAGCTTTACATCATTCACAACATGAATGTTCGAGCCAAAAATTAACAAGTCATCCACATATAGACAAATTATAGTGCATATGTCATTCTCAAATTTTACATATATGCATTTGTCACTACCATTTATCTTAAAACCATGTGAGATGAATAAGTTATCAAATTTTTCATGCCATTGTTTAGGTGCTTGTTTGAGACCATAAAGAGATTTATCTAGCTTACATACTAGATGCTCTTTTCCTTGAACAACGAATCCTTCCGGTTGATCCATGTAGATTTCTTCTTCCAATTCACCGTTCAAGAATGCAGTCTTTACATCCATCTGATGTACTACAAGATTAAAAACAGAAGCAAGAGATATTAGTACTCTAATAGATGTTACTCTAGTTACAGGTGAATAGGTATCAAAGAAATCAACATTCTCCCTCTGTCTGTAGCCTTTAGCTACCAAACGGGCTTTGAACTTATCAACGGTCCCATCAACTTTCAGCTTTCTTTTTAGGACCCATTTGCAACCAATTGACTTGCAGCCTGGTGGCAACTCAGTTAGATGCCAAGTTCGATTAGACTCAAGTGAGTCCATTTCGTCGTTCACGGCTTCTTGCCATAAATCTGCATCAACTGAGGTTAGAGCTTCTTGGAGGGTAGAAGGATCCTCCTCTACATTAAGAACTACAAAGTCTGGGCCAAAGTCTTTTGCTACTCTAGCCCGCTTGCTCTTTCTTAGTTCGGGTTCAGCATCCAATTCTTGTGAGTTAGACCTGACTTTAGGAATAATAGAGGTGGACGAACCCCCACTATTTCTAGATTTAAAAGGAAACCTGTCCTCATAAAAATCAACATCATTAGATTCAATAATTACACGAGCATTTAAATCAAAGAATCTATATGCCTTACTGTTAATAGCATATCCAATGAATACACATTCATAAGCTCTACTAGCTAATTTAACTCTTTTAGGATCAGGAATCCTAACATATGCTAGACAACCCCAAGTTCTGAAATAAGAAATGTTAGGTCGTTTATTACGAAGTATTTCATAGGGAGAAACCTTACTCTTAGTCTTTGGAATACGGTTTAAGACATAACAAACAGTTAGTAGAATTTCACCCCACCAATGATCAGCAGCACGAGAATATAAGGAAATAGCAACTACTAATTCTGTAAAGGTCCTATTTTTCCTTTCAGCCTTTCCATTCATTTCTGGGGAATAAGGAGCTGTCCTTTCATGTATGATACCATGTGAATTATAAAATTCTACAAAAGCATCAGTATCATACTCAGTTCCACGATCACTTCGTAATCTTTTTATTTTCTTGTTAAACTGATTCTCAAACTCTGTTATAAACAACTTAAACATTTCAAAAGCATCACTCTTATTTTTCATCAAATAAATACAAGTATAATCAGAACAATCATAAATAAAGGTGATAAAGTATCGTTGTCCATTTCTGGTCAACGTTCCATTTAGTTCACAAATATCCGAATGAATTAAGTCTAATGGTTCTGAGTTTCTAATCACTGATTTATGAGGTGTTTTTGTAATCTTAGCCTGACTACAAGAATCACATTTGTCAAAGTCATTGAGAGAGATATTTGGAATAAGGCCTAAATTGCTCATATTTTTTATGAGTCTTTTGTTCACATGACAAAGTCTAGTATGCCAAACATTAATAGTAGAACACAACATATAAGCGGAATTAGAAATTTTATTAACTTCAACATTCAGTTTAAACATGCCATCAGTAGCATATCTTTTTCCTACAAATATTCCATTCTTAGTTAAAGTAAACAAATCAGAACCTATGGTTTGTATAAAACCAGCCTTATTAAGCAAAAAACCAGAAACTAAATTCTTCCTCATTTCCGGAGTGTGTAACACATCTTTCAGAATGAGAGTCCTGCCAGAAGTAAACTTCAACTCAACATTTCCAACACCAGCAATGTTAGTGGAATGGGAATCACCCAACAGTACTTTCTTATCATCGGTCTTTTCAGTGTATGTTTTAAACATCCGACGATCATAACAGACATGGCGTGTGGCACCAGTGTCTATCCACCACCCATCATAGCCACAAAAGGCTCTTCAATCATGCTAGCCTGCGCAGGCACAGGGTTAGGCATGTTCCTGCACTTTCGTGCCATATGGCCTGGTTTTCCACACCGATAGCACAGAAATTGACCAGTACCATTCTTAGGGGGTTGAGACTGTTGTCTTCCATTGTTCTTTTGAACATTCGGTTTATTGAAGTTATTCTTCCGGTTCTGAGGTTTGAAATTCTTACCAGCAGGTTTAAGTACTGCAGCAGATCGCCTAGGAGCATTATTAGCAGAGATTTGTAAAATCTCTTCCTTTAGATCCTGTTTTCTGGATTCTTCTTCTATACGTAGCCGAGTGATCAAACTCTCTGAGGAGAATTCCTTAGTCTTATGCCTGAGATTATTTTTGAAATCTTTCCAGGAAGGAGGCAGCTTGTCAATAATAACAGCAATTTGAAATTGTTCATCAAGGGCCATACCTTCGGAAATTATCTCATGGGCAATTTTCTGAAGGTCGTGAGACTGCACTTCCACGGACTTATCATCAGTCATCTGGAATTTTAGGTACCTACTAACAGCATACTTTTTGGCACCTGCTTCTTCAGTATCATACTTTTTTTTGTAGGGCATCCCACAAACCCTTAGCAGTATTTTCCATATTATAAAAGTCATAGAGGTTATCAGACAGACCATTAAGTACATAGTTTTTGCACATGAAATCAGTTTCATTCCAGGTTTCGATTTCACTATTCAAGTAAGCTAATTCATCTTCAGGAGCATTATCAGGAATAAATGGCCGAGGGGCTGTTAAGGCAGAATTAACCTTTTTGACAGTTAAGAAAAATTGCATTTTCTGTTTCCATCTTTTAAAGTGAGCGCCCTCAAAACGAAAGGGCTTGTTAAGGTCAGCAGACATAGTCATTTCTTCGGTAGACATAGTGTTCACGAAGGCAGAAACGATTGTTCTAAAATTGTTATAAACGGAATTGCACAAATAAAATAGTAAGAACAATGTTACCGAGAATAAGACTGAGTCGCGGACTATGTCGCTCTCTTTAGAACATTCGCGGCACTGCCTCAAACTTGTGCAAGCAGCTCGTACCAAACCGGATGCCCCCAGGATAAAACAGTCTTTCACAAGTATAAAATACCGGCGGTTTTGCACCGAACCACCGGACAATGGAACACCAGAAAATCAGAAAGAAACTGCTCGACTGTTTTGAGAGGAAGAGAAAATATATTTTGCAAAGTGGTTTTCTGTTTTTTTTTTTCGTGTTTTTAAAAACAAAGCTGGAACCGTCCTTTTATAGGTAAAGATACGTAACAGCTTAAGCATGAAAACGGGAGAAAGATTAGCAACGTTTACTGCAATT